GAGAGAGAAATAGCTAGAACAAGAAAGTGATCACTCACATCCATCTGGTTACAGCATTGAGAATGAATAAAGCAAGCTTACCTCCATTTTCCCTGTACATCTTTAAGGCATGGGACATAAGCAAAGGCAACATTTTACATTTTTATATTTTATCACCACCTATACTCATCTAAATATCAGTGAGTATGAGGAAATCACAGAATTCAAAATTATCAGATTATCAAATATTTAATGCCCAGAATCTGTGATTAGGTGTAAACACATAAGAGAAATGGTACTTGCTGTCTAAAAGACATCTCTGGAATTGTATCACCAGATTAAAGTGCCAACTTTCATTTATTTGATTTTGAAGTCAAGATACTGAAGAAAACATACTGAAGGGAACATACTGGTTGGGTTTAGCAACTTCATTCACTGAAGTATCAAACATATTGTGATTTTTAGAGCACTTCTGTCAAAAAAGAAAAAGCAACATTAGTAAATTGTAGTGTGCACAAGGAATGGCTGAATCAAGAAATCACTGCTGCTATTAGGTTCTTCTGAAAGAAGAGGTAATAATATTCATCTGCAATCACAAGCTGTTAAATTCTATGAACTATTTTTGTCAGTTTGTAATTCTTTATAAGTACTTTTACATTTATTGCTCCATTCAGGATAACTACTCACAATAATCTCCCAAAGATGCCCCTTAAGGTTCTAACAAAATCCGCAATAAAGTTTCTAAATTAACCTTTTAAAAGTTGGCTGTCTCCAACAACAAGGTGATGAGTCCTGATAATGAATGCTGAAAGAACCTCTGAAATATTGGTAAACCTCTACCAGACTACATGGTGCTACAAGCCAGAAGACAGCCATCTTCATACTCGCTGGCATGAGAACCTCAAATCCTAATTAACCCTTTAAAAAGGAATACTTGTGCAAAGTTTGTGCAAACTCTATAGTTCAGGATACACAGCAATGTAATAGCAACAATATTATTCTCCCTGCGAAACAAATTTATTCAGCCAAAGAGTTAAATAAGTCAAACAAAGGAGCTGATTGAAATTGCATGCTCATAGTTCTTTCTAGTTCGTCTATCAAGAGAAGTTGTAACATACTGCACAAACCTTATTTGCAGTCCAAGAAACATATTCGGGAGAATATGATACAATACTCTCCACTGAGAAGTTTACACTTTTTATAATCTCTCTAACAGACTCCATGGCCTTCACTTGCTGTGTAGTTGTGTTCATAAGGATATGCTGAATTGGGATCTGAGAAGCCTGCAAATGAAAACATGGATTCCATAGGCCATCTATTTTTATAAATTTCAAACCAAAGAACATACTTGGTAATGACATTACTTCTATTCCAGATCTAATATCTATACAACTAAACCATGACTTGCTTACCAGAAAATAAGAGAAAGTTGTAGGTCTTAATGAGATCTACATTTTATTTACATCATGCACATTTTTTGTGTGATTAGCAAGCTGTTTTTGAGGAAACTGATATAAAGCTTGATTTTAGCTTATGTAAAGGAGGGTTATGTTGAACAGAGTCTAAAATTAAATATACCTGACAAAGTTTAGCGTGGACTTCCCAGTGCCAAGTTTTGATGATATCCTAATTAATTCTGGAACTGATACACTGGACAGAATGCATACAGTGTCCCCATTATGTACTTTGTGTACATACATAATTAATGTAAACTGTGGTAATTCAGGATACCATATTCACAGTGAAACTACAATATGAATACTGTACACTGCAGCCTTTTATATTAAGAGTGATATCCAATAAATATTCAGAAACTCCCACCAACATTAATTTCTCATACAGTTACCGTGATATTATAGTCTCCAAATGGAAAAGCAGAGAACTTTACGTCTTTTATATACTTTTGTCCATTCTGAGACATCAGAAGAAATTCAGAAATGTAACTCTTCATTTCATCTTCATCACTGGGAAGAGATTCTGTTGCAACTGCAAAACAAATATCAAATTTGGAATCAAAATTTTTTGCCCTCCATTACAACTTTCAAGTGAATCATCTCCCAGTGAAGCCTAAGTGCACCACTGAAATAATGAAACCATGTATTTATTATGAATACATATCTGCTTGATCAATGTTCTTGCCATGGTGATGAATACTGAACACTAATACTGCGACCACTGACATATTTTTCATAGTTTACAATGAAAAAACTGAACACGTTTCCATTTTCTTAAACTCGTTTAAAAATAACACATATTACTTAATCATTTTCATTAGCTGATATGGCATGCAGTAAGTACTCACTTTCCTCACTGAGCCAATTCTGAAATTTTATGTACCAGAAATCAAGTGTTCCTTTGTTGATGTATGGATTATTTTCCAAGCGAGTATACAACTCATACAACTTATCTTTGTCTCTGAAGTAATTTATTTCACTACCTGAAACATAAAAGTATTGTTGAAAAAATTGGCTTTCACCCTTTCCTTCATGTGTTATGCACAAAATAATAGAGCATATATGATAAGCATCTAAAATAATAAAAATAAAGTACTTCACTTGCATTTAGTTTCCATGTACATGAAATACATTGTGTTTTTTTTAAGTTCATTTAGTATTATTATTATTAATTGTAACAAATTTCTTTGAAATATAATTTTACAGATATTCCACTTCAAATTATTAGAATCTGTAACTTGTTCTTACAGAGATTTTTCTAAACTGGCCCTCAGTCTTAAACACAAATTAATATGTAAAAATTTGAAGGACAGAGGCATACAGATACAATTGGCTGTTTTCATCTTGGAAAGAAAGCTTATCGTATTAATGAGATATTTATGTGTTTATCCTGTGTTTCTATGCATATAGAGAACATCTGAGTGTATGTATACAATTATTTCACAAATGATTTGTCTTGTGTAGTTTTTTGTAATTAATAGTAAGTAATGTATCAAATATTTAACACAGTTTAAATCATATCAAACTTCCTCCATGTTTCTAGTATACCACTTATCGGTGATTTTTATAATATTGTGACTATTAAAACATTATTATTATATAAATTTTTCACAATTTATATATAGGAGCTATATTATGAAAAGAGTGAAATATATAACAAAGTAAATTAAAGAACTGATACTTTTAAATGTAGTAAGTTATCAGCATGTTCACAAGAGCCTGTTACTGGGTCTTATCACAAGTCAGCTATATGCACTCTCCCTACTTCATGAGAACAATGATAAAGAAAATATATCCAACTCACCTAAATAAATTCCTGCACGCTTTCCATACTCAGGAAAGTGCTCATTGAGTTTGTTGTTATATTGAATGGGATATGATTCTGAATTAAGATACCACATAGGATCAAACTTCTGCTCAACTTTAAGAACAAACCACACATTCAAGCCAAACAGAAGCAATGTACCAATAATAATACAAACCTGTAATGAGAGAAACATTCACACTCATGAACACTATTGAGCTGCTCCTTGCACTGTGCTTAATTAATATAAAACCACTTTTAATGAAACTCACTACAAGTGCCCAAGTAATATTTGTTACACATGCGCTACACAAAAGAAGGGAAAAGGCTCTGATAAACATCAATCTTCTTAATTTTACTTCCACAGGTTAGGAATAAGTCTGCTCCAACTTCACAGCAATTTATGAATATCTCCCTACATCTCTATATAACCTTTTGGTTTGTAATGTAGCGTGAGTCTTTTAAGGATATCACTGCAAAAAAACAGCATTTAATTATTCCTATCACTGAATTCAGATTCTAAAAATAAAAGAATGTGACACAATACAGCTGATATATTATTTGTAATGCTGGATGGTGAAAAGGCTTATAAATACCAAATCTGCATTAAACCATGGTTGCCTAGTGACAACACATCAGTGAACATTATAGTGTAGCACACATCAGATGGAATGGTAGAAAATGGGATGGCAGATATTTTACATATCTGATTTAACCATAAATGAAAATCCAAAGGATGATGTAAATATTCAACATTCTGCTCTGATTTTTTTACACACCCTGCAGAAATATGTAGTTACCCAAACGTGTTCAAGATGTCTTCCATCAAGTTCAAGATATTTTTCATATAATTTCTGCAGATTTTATTCTGAACCACACTGCATGACACAACATTACCATTGTCTAGAAATTTAATATCAGTTCTTCTAATTACACACCTTCACAGGAGTCTTCATCAACGTGGGGCCAACATATTTCTTAAACACCATTTTCTGAATGTTCTGTTGACTGCATTCATTTGGTTTCCAGTTCCTATGTACTACACAAATGCAGCCATCTCTGTTTTTCTGCAGTCTCATCTCATCAATAGCTAAGCAACTCACAAAGAACAGAATCTCAAAAACATACAGGAAGAAGATGCCAGTTGCTGCAAACACACAGAATGACCTCAGGAATGGCATAATCTGTAACATACGTGGATATAAAAACTTTTAGCAGTTTCTCACATCTCACTGGTCTTGATATCCATTTACTGCACAAACAAATGTCACACAGCTAATTACTCTACAGACCCTATATATATCATACTGCAGTTTCTTCCATTGTATTTCAGCAAGCATAAACCATATTAAAACAGTTTCAAATAGAAGTTGTGGGTTTTAATGAAGGAATTAGGAATGACAGTTTACATGATGCTAGTAACAATAATGATATAGTAGTAAGCACTTCTATGTCAAGAAATCAAACTGTCAACTGTTCACAAAATTAATAAATACTCTTAGATTTCTCGTGATGGAAGGAGACAATATCAGATTGACCACATAATCTTCATAGAGAGAAGACAACAACCAAGCATACCATATGACTGATCTATTAAAGAGGTTGACTGACAATGACCAACACGAACGCTTGATAAGCACAGATCTTATCTCAAGATGCTAAACAAAGCAGAAGTTAAGGAACAGTATTAGGTAAAAATTCATACATTACTGTACTTACTGTTGACGTTCCAATTGCAAATGCAAATATGTCAGTCAGTGATGTAACTGTTATGGAAACACCTGCTTGTCGTAAGGTTTGTCCTAATCTCTCTGGAACACTTGTGACTTTGTCTTCTTTATTCAGGTTATCCAAATACTAAGTATGGAAAAATGGTGAAATGTATTATATTCACCTAAAAACCAAGTACGAAGATGATGCTATAGCACCATGTAGTCTAGTACAAATTCACCAACATTTCAGAGGTCACCGCTGCCTTCACACTGGTGATGGAGGCAGAAATTACCTCAGAAAGGTTGGTAAACTATTACTACATGGTGCCACAACCAAATGAGAGCCATCATAAACATTTTATATAGTTGGTACCAAATTAATACCAGCTGTTTGATGACTCTCAGACTGCAAGTTGATTTTCTTCTGGTGGTGAACAGATTGTGCTTCAAGCTAAATGGTGGTGGCCAGAATGTAATGAACCAACACAGCCTAATAACTGAGGATTTAAAATATGGTATAAAACATATTTAAAAATCATAAACTACTACTACTACTGCTGAAAGCATCATCTCTTTGCCTGGATTTTATAAACAAACTGTACTAGAATAAAATTTATTTATTTTGCCAGTCTCATGAATACATATTGACAGTGATAAAAAGCTATAAAAATCTTATAAATATTTACTCTTCTTGACAAAAAACAAAGTTATCCAAAGTGCACATAACCTGTAGTGAAATAAATCAGTTGCTTATTTCTTATGACAGTTTGGTTAACTGTTGACTAACGTTCTGTTATTGACAACTGCGGCTCCACATAGTGACCCCTTGATGTGTTACACAGCTAGTTTTAAGTTGTTACATGCGTGCAAATGGATGGATGTAACGATTTTAATAGGCAATTATTGTCATTGCTGTTATTATTATATTATCTTAGCACTGTATTTTGATTGTTGTGGGGAATTAACAATACTGCATTTCAGCATGACCTGATCTCTACACCAGGATTCACCACTAAAATAGGCTCTTATGTTCAATAAAAATATCTGACAAAATTGGTAATACATTTTAAATTTTACCTGCATTATAACAAATGAGTTGTCCACTCCAACTCCTAGCAAGAGGAATGGTAAAATTGGGTGAATTGGTCCCCAGAAGAAGCCCATATAGAAACATAGTCCATATGATGCCAAGATGGACTGGCCCACCACCGAGACTCCAAGCAGAGACAAATAGACCTTCATGAGGAAAACAAGTACTTGAAATGTGAATACAGGACATACATTTCATACACTTTTTACTAGTATTAAGCACCTTCCATAATTCAAAGTATTAATGCACCATCTGATAACTGACTTCAATAAAACGAATATAACTCCGTAACTGGTTGAGAGAGAGATTCCACTGGCACTGTGGCCTGATGGTGGCAGTGTCAGTAATGATAGCAGTGATGATACATACATACGGAGCAATGGTGGAATTGTGACCAGAAGGAGAAAAGTAAAATATTGAGAACTGCACCAATGCCACTGGTAAGAGACAGCAGCACTCGCCCTGTTTGCTATAAAGATACTTTGGCAGAAAAGGGATCAGACTAGAAAGAAAGTTTGTAGGAGATTACAAAATGGAGCAGATCTGGTATTCACTCACCCTCTGTTCCACTGAGTTGAATCGGCCTAACATAACCATAACATACACTATTATAAGGGTGAAGCCAGCAAAGAGAACTGTCTGGTTATTTTGCAAAACCTGCTGCAAGAAGTCCAAGTAGCTGCAACATATCACAATATCAGCATTAGTCGTAACCACAATCTTACATTATACTAGGTATAAACACTCAAAAGTTAAAACAGAAATCCATGAATGATAATGGCAGTGATGACAGCAGTAATGGTTAAAGATTACTGCTCAGCTTCTTCTGTATCAAGCAAGATATCTAGTACAAAGGAAGGAATGGGTGAAGTGATTCTTAAAATGGACTTTTGTCCAGGCATAATGTAACAATTCTCTTTTACTTCCAGATAACAGTCTATATCTGTTCTAGACCAATTTTCTCTAACATCACATATTCTGGATATATAAACTTCTGACTTACCTACGTGTTGATACAGCATATATCTTCATCCCAGGAGGAAGAGTTCTGTTTGAAAACAGTACATTCTGAATAAATTCCAATTCCCAGTCAGGAGACCATTTGTTTGTCTGAAATAAAAAAAAAAACTCTCAACATTATTAATATGCTACGATTTCTTTGTGTTGGCAGGACAGACATTTAAATAAATGACATGGGTGGAAACTGACCTAGGATAACTTAATTATATATGTGGAGGTTGTCTCCTCCAGTTACAAGCCAAGGATATGCCATATACGATGTAGTCCATGGTTGCTTATTCAATATATTCACAGCTACCTTCCATTAACGGAGGCCAGCTTCTCCAAGTACAAGCTGAGGATGCACCATGCCGCAGTAACTTAACCACCATGTTGTGGTAACAAGGGATTAACTTCAAGGATCTTCTTACATAGCGTGGATTATAACCCAAAATACTCAACATTTAAATCAGCATCATCATAAAATCATAGTCGTATATATTCAGTGTTTTAAATCCCCAATAGATTTGTATTCAAACTTTTAATTAGAAAGGTAGACATATTTGAAATGTCTCAACATTCAGCTGTTCCCTCACCTTCTTTAGAATCCAATTCAGAATAGTTGCTTTTGCCCCAATAACATTTCCTTGGTTATCCCACCTGATACCTGATAAAAGTGGTTCCACTCTTTCAAGGACATTTGAGAACTTCCCATGTGATGTTTCCCTGTAAACAAACATCAATACTTGCATATAGTTTATGACACAAAGAACTTCCCGCAGCTGATCAATACACAAGATGTCTTATTCATTCACTTCTTAATTTCCTAGACTGCAGCATCAAGTTGTTCCAGTTGGTTCAGTGCAAAAAATGTGGGATAATTAATTAATGGTAATGTTGGGGTTAAAAATGTGTCTGACTATTTCAAACACCACTAAGAAGAAAGAAAATATTTTAAATACTTACGTCACATTGATTGCATGCGTTATGTTCCTCATGATGGCTTCTTGATCCAATTTAAAGACAGTATCCATTGTGCCATTTGATGTCCAAATCCTCAAGACTGACTGATATATACAACTATCTTGAAATTCATAGTCCTTCATGTATTCATGTATTTCATCTGTTACTTCACTTTCATTGACATGTGGAAACCATGTTAAGTATCTGAAACAAGGTTTAAACACTTGGTATACAGTTTCACATATTTTTAACAAATATAAGAAAAAGGGTAATTTCTGATACCCTGCAGATGTGACTTTAAATTTCTTATGTGCTTATGTAATCACCGTTCTGAGTGCTTAGACCTTGTCTGAAAAGGAACCTGAGTGAAGAGAACTCAATCTTTATCAGAAAATGCCTTTGATGCCAGATTACAGTGAGTAAAACAATCTAAAATAAGCTCCAATTAGCGGCAATTGTTTGGCACAGGAACAGAAAGAAGAAATATGATATTACCTGTTAACAATCTATTTGAATATCTGTTTCCTTTTCATACAACTTTTCTTTCTTACTGTATATCCCATAATTTATCGAACAAGTAACGTATCGGGCACGAGAAAGAATTAAGCCAGATCATCCAGAATGTGTGGAGTAACTTTAACTTACCACTGGAAAATAAGAAAGAGAAAGAATGGTATAAAGATAGATGCCACAGCCCAGAAAACAGCCATCTTCAAAAATATCCTTGCCTCTGCCAGCAACTAAACCCTTCTCATTCAGCCCTTATCCAGTCACATTACTGACTTACGCTAGCTCACGTTCATTCACTCATTTTCCGACTCATTTATTTATGTATTTAGATCACAATGATTTTCATATGTTATGAATGGGAGAAAAAAATGTACAGGTCATGTTATTAACATCTAAATACTGCAGTGGGCAGGACTGGTCTTTATGACTAGTTTTCCTATCTTTGTCTTGGGGCTACGAAATGAGAGGCCAGTTCCCTGGCTCAGAATTTTACAGTCTTCAGGGATCAAGTAAGGGTCAATTGGACAGGCTGATGAATGCTGATGGGATGAAGAATGTCTCCCAATTACACTATCTTCTTAGTTCAAGTAGAAGTCAATTGGGTAGATCAGTAAATCTTAAATGAGATGAAGAAAGTCTATCAGAAAGGACAAAAACTGATGTCTGTACCTTATTCAGTTAAAGAACCAATAAATAAATAAAGATGTCTGGGGACAAAGCACTGAGAAGAACACCTGGTCCTTACAGGGAGGATTGACGGAAGGTAAAAAAACTGTACAACAAGGGATTTCTTAAACTACTCTTCACCAAACATTATTAGGGTTGTCACATCAAGAAGAATGAGATGAATGGGACATGTAGTATGCAAGGAGAGAAGAGAAAATCAAATATAAAATTAAACTGGAAGACCTTAAGAGAAGGGCCAACTATCACCAAAACCCTGAAGAATTGAAATTAAATTATATTTTGCTTACACCAGTGTATATTTTGTTAATTTCGTTTATAGTTCAGTTGTATTTGTGTTTATTAAATATAATGTACACTTATTTTGATTTTGTGTTCTATGTAGTTTATTTTAGTTGAAATGATCCACGCCGATTATAGTTAAATATCATTTTAATAGGCACATGAAAGATGGTAGGAGAGCCACAGGCTAGTCAAGATACAGAAATGCAATAGTTCAACCTTTTCTTACAACTGAACGCAATGAGCATACAAGTAAGAAAGGAGCACAGGCAAAATGAATGAAAGCTAACAACTACATCTGCTAGGTGAAGGCGATGTACACACATAATAATCATTAGACTCACAACGGGTGGAAAATACTGAAAGGACCAACCAATATTTGAGCTCTACTGCTGGAGGAAAGTGTCAAGTTGAGTGAAGAAAACTGATTTGATTTTGCTGCTCGACACAAGTTCAAAAGTGATGCTTCGATGTGCATGCATGAAGTTCATTCGTACCTGGCACAGACGTCTGTCCAGTCGTGTCCAGCAGCAACTATGCTCCTCACAGCAGTTTCAAGCTCTGCTATCTGAAACAGAACGACAAATTAAGAAATTAAAATACTTCTTTTGGTTGATTCTATGCTTGCACAATATGCATGTGAGTCTGCATTGTTCAAACTGAAGAGCAACCAAGGTCTATTGCTCCCAGTTCATCATGATCACCGCATAATTTCTCATTTGAGGATATCTAACCCATGCAGTTGATGAAAAGACTAAAACACTTACATTGAGATATTCAGGGCCACGGAAAATGTGAAAATGCCTGAAATTCTTCCAGTCACTGGCTGAAATTCATTTACAGAACTACTGGGATATGATTGACAGAATTAAGTAGTGAGAATGACTTGGAATCTTTCTTGCCATTAGTTGGAACTGGACATGAAATTTGAAATATTTCAATCCACTACTGGCTGACGTTTACTTACGGAACTAGGTAAATATGAGGATGCTTGGAAATAGTTACAGCCACTTGGTGAACAAGAGAATAATTGGAAATCTTTCCAGCCTCTAGCTGAAATTCATATACTAAACAAAATCAAAACGTTAAAGTTTCAAACACCTGTATCAGTTGAGAAATTTTTCGGCGTCCGAATGATTAAACAGCTTGGGTTTTGTAACGAGTATTACCGGAGGACGTCTATTTGTAACGTCACCACACACATTTCGGAGTGATTCGCTGGTTATAATCCCGCGAAACAAAATAGGTAGAGGTCCCTGAAAATATTTACTCATTACGTAGCTATGTAGAACTATGGAAAAGTTCTATGTTTAATTACATACATGTTCACGAACGCAACCCACGCTATGACAGGCCATCGGGTGGTAAACAGGATAATCTGTTAATTAATTTATTGATCAAAGCGTGGGCGTTATAAGTATTTAACGCAACTGAACGCGGTGCCATGCCCAAGGCGTGCGTTCATGATTATCACGAATAATTTAAAGTTTTTATCTTGTAGTGCAACATTAAGACGAGTTTTAAACGCGCAATTTACTTCAAGCTGAACGAAGAAAGGATGCTGTAGGAAGTAAGCACTAAAATGTGGAAGGACCATATATAAAACTCGTAAACACTACATTGATGGAAGTCTAATTATTTCGAAGATGGCTTGAGCAGGAATATTTTTCGGGATTTTATTATTAACAAAATTAATGGGAACAAGGCAGCAACCACGCATGACTTTTTCCTTCAGATTTCTCATCTCCTGTGCGTGCTACAAGTCCCGCCCATTTCACAGTCCCTGATACTTGAGAAAAAAACACGAATCTGAAGTCCCTCATCATGTAATTTTCTCCGTCTGGTTACGTAATCTCTTAAGTTCCTATGAAACACGACCTCAAGGGCCGAAAATCCTTGGTAACAGCTTCCTCAGCACAAAGTGCATTTGCAATTCAACAGGAAAACTGAAAATCAGTTTCCCCCACTCTACACAATTGAAACCGTTCATTTTCAGTTCCTCTGAACACCTTCCTTAAATAACAAATGAGAAAATAAACACGTCTGTAAGACTGAAATTATTCTGGCAAGGAATTAGCGAAAATACTCGACTTATAAATATTATTTAAATCTTGTCGGTCTAATCACAATAAATTCTTATTAAAAATTAAAATATTACAATAATTAACATTTAAAATATTTAAAATATTAAATGATGTTCTTTATCGAAATATTCGATTTACATTAGAACACCATTTTTTCACGTGAAATGTTAATTATTGTAATATTTTAATTTTTAATAAGAATTTATTGTGATTAGACGGACAAGATTTAAATAATATTTATTATAACACAATATGACGCGACTTTACCATCTCATACCATCTCGACTTATAAAATTTATTGACATAACTTGCACGTCATCACGTGACAGGTTTCTCGGCGAAGTAGGAACGAATGACTTAACAAAAAATGACACTGAAAGCAAAATCCCAATCACGTGTTGCAGGTACAACTCCAAGGTTCAACACAGCTAATATCGTACCTACAGCGAAATACACGAACACGACACGAGACAAAAATCAGCAGAAGACCAAAATGTATCTGTAGGCAATAAATCATTTACGAATGACTGAATGATCCTCCAAGTTTTCCTTTTTTATGGGTACGATACTAACAAACAGAAATGGCGTTCACAACAAAATTTGGATAATGAATTCTGTAAATGTTTATTATTCGGTTCGAAAATCTCTACCATCCTTTTATAAAATTTTCTCGGGCTATCAGCCGTGTTAGTTGATAAAAACTCGACGTTTCAGGGACCATCTGCATTTTAATGTTTGTCGCCGTGAAAGCTTCAGACCACACATTGTGTCCATTCCACCTACATTCAACAAACGCCAAAGAATTATATAATACATATAAATGTAATTTTTCATTTGTTTTGCACAGATGTGAATTGTGGTCTGTTTGACGTAAGAACATTGTCGGCACTAGACGGAGGTCAGTTTCACGTTCCAGCCGCTTCACCCCGGAGGAAAGAGCCTCGGTACAAACTGGACACGAGGCCGAGTGGGCCCCAGTGTCGGTCTGGAAGCTGTGGCGGATACAAATATTGCACCGCTGGGAATCGAACCCGATCCTCCACCCCTTAGCTTAGTCACTGGGAAATGGATGAGACTAAACTGGGTCGAGATCGTGCACCACACTGAGCTGTGATAAACGGTGTTGAATTGTCAGGTTCTGTTTCGCAAAGTTAATTTAACTTTCCTGAGAAGTCACGTCGATTCTTGGCCGCCTTAAGCCACGCATTTCCGATGCAGGACGTAAGACGAGGCGGACTTTGGCATCTTAGAGCTGCTGGACTATGATCTAGCACTACCGTCTCGGGCATTGGCACTCACCTTCGGTGCACGTGCACTTAACTAATATGTCTATCTGTTGTAGAGGTTATAAACCCGCCTCCGGGTTCTCATGCACTCCGCTTGGCTCTCTGACTCAACAATATGTAATAGTTGGGGCCACCCCTCCTACGTGCTCTCCGCAAAGTGATATGAATTCCGTATGCAACAAAAACATAGATTCGTGATGTAAAAGCTGCAGATTGTGTGCACTGTCCATCGTCTTACAGTTTTTTAAACACACGACGTTTCGGAAACTTGCCGTTTTCCTCTACCCCCTCCCCACCTGTCATCTTAAGACAACACAAATCGCAAACCGGAAAAAAGCCAAGGTAGTCCAGGTAACCAAACTGAGCTCTCACGAACAGTTAGCAGATTGGTACCAGTGCAAATCCATCAAACACTGGTACGAGTGTCGCCTCTCATTCAGGAAATCAACCAGTAGCTCGGCTGGGGCATGAACTCACGGACTCTTGCACAACGCATTCGTTCTATTATTAAAAAATGAACAGAACATGACGCATATTTAGACGTACTGAACAATACTGAACAGGAATAGTTTTGTTGTGTTAAAGTACATCGTGAAGTTATTAATAGAAGCAGCAAAGTCTTTCCATCATCCTTTATGAAAGTGAAATTTAGACTCCGGGGCAACATGACAAAAATAGAAAAGCTACAGTTGTGACAGCAAGGCACAGTCTTCCCGACTAGAAAAGAAACGAATACATTTTACAACTCAAACCTTAATCCTTAGAATGAAAAGTCCTCGCCAAGTTACGACATCTGTCTGACGTCAGTGTCTAAGTACAGAAGTTCTGAAACTACGAGCAGTTATGGCGATAGAGCGGCTGTATAATTAGTCACAAATTGCACGCACACGATAAAAAAGAAATGCTTCCGCTTGACCTCCAGGTGTGTAGATTTTTGGCAGACGTTAGTCATTTGAAACATCTGGAAGATTCATGGCCCCAAGAACGAATGTACGCACGTATCTAGTACTAATATAGACCAGTGGATAAGTGCACATGTACGGACGGGTGCAAGTGCACTGACGACCGAGGACAGTGCCACACTGAACAAGACTACACGTAATTCTACTTCGAAGATCACGGGATCTAAAATTTCACAAGGCTGGAAATCATAATCGTCAACTAAGTATAGTTGTATTTATTTTTATAGAATACATCACCATTGTAGCCACATGATCACCCCATCATAGCCTCCTATATTTCAATGTCTTAATACTAAGAATCATGTACAAATCATTACGTTTCTTGTTATGTAAGTAATGTTCTGCGTTGCTTAACGAACTTATCTCTCAGCCTTCTTATTTGCACATAATTTCCGGGGTACTTCTGTGTTCAGTGAACTGCAATATGCCCTCAACCCGACCTACTTTTTCACACTCATACAAAACAACTGGCAACAATATGCCCTTACCTTCGGCGTTTGAGAGGAGGCAAACGGCTTTTAAGTGAATATTTAAAACCTCAAATCCTACATTTGAAACGCAATTACATAATTTATTTATTTCACACTTTCCTCACGAACCTCATTCCTGTTTGTTAATAAGGTGAAGATATACAAATTTTTTAATTGCTTTAAACCAGTGGTATTCAACCTGGGGTACGCGAAGATATCTTAGGGGGTACGTGAAATTTAAAACAAAAATATTATTTTATGATAAACACTGAATAATCAGTAATGTAATTTATTTAATTTATTTTATATGTAGATTATATACTACGTATAACTTGAATTATACACAAACAACTTTGGGGGTACAAAGTTGAAGAGAAATTATATCTGGGGGTACGCGAACAAAAAAGGTTGAATACCACTGGTTTAAACAACTGAAAATAACGCAATTATTACAACAAAATAACATTTCGCCGTGTGATAAAAACAGCCTCGCAGAAACAGTTAACACCAAGACTCTCTAGGCGTAGGTTTGAAAACCAATTTTCCGCTAGACGTGTCCTTAATCATTTAATTCACAGCTTAGTAGAACGAGAGGGAGAGTCGAACAATGAAACAGTTATCTCAAAAACAACAGAACGATGACAAAGTCGGTAAAATATTTCTGTGACACTCTTGAAACAAAGGTACAAGTTCCCCGTAGCTATTCTTGGGTTCAAGGTGAAGGAGCTTGCTTATTCATCAGCGCATTGTTACAGGGACTCGGAACGGGTTCAAGCGGGTGTGTAGATGTGCAGTTCATTATCACTTCATTCATCACCAATTCTGACATTTCTTTCTCAGCCCTTTCGATCTCAAAATGTCGTTGAAAACAACCACTCACACAGCAACAAAATATTTTACTTTCGTAAATTTTAAAATTCGCGTTGTTCGACGGTCATCGTGCTGAAAAAAAAGTGATACGAAGATTTATCTGAAACATAACACCTTTCTCAACTTACCGAAGCCAAAACAGATGGCGTCAGCACATTTTCCGCCTCCACAATAACACTTTCGAATCGCATTTCATCTCGGAAGTTCCGTTCAACCCACGCCGCGTCGCGTCGGACGTGAGAATCAATAGGCATAAACAGTTGAATATCGTCCACTTCCTCCTTCCATAACAAGAGACCCAGAGAACTGACCAAACATAGGGTCAGGGATAACAATAAGAAGACCAAGGGACGCGTCCCAATCGCCTTTCCCGTTCTGAAACAAACAAGAGCATTATTAAGCTCACATCATCGCATCCTTATATCTGTCTCACTCTGCGCTGTACTGTAGTAGGGGACACTAAACGTGCATGTAGAATTTTGGTATGAAGACGTCCTGGGAAGACGGAAAAGACTTTGCTCAGAATTGTATCTCACAGCCATGAGGAATTCTTCGCAGCTGTAAAATGCATTGAATCGATGACGAGTGCCTGCCCTGTCGATCTGTTTAATTTCCAAATTAATCACAAGAGGCGCTTCAACATCTGCAGCGACCACGTCGCGTTCTTTTCTTATTTATTTATGAACTTATTTACTTGCTAATTCTGCATGAACTTAAAACTTCAGGTGAAGGTCCCAAACTTCCTTCACTACTCTGAGATCCCTTATTACGTAAGAATTACTAACTAAATACTATCACAATTTCAGGGACGTATCTGTTTCAGGATTCAGTGATAAATTATAGGTGGCAGCACTGCAAGACAAGGTTATTCGATTTCCGATGGAAACACGCAACGTTTGATTACAGAAATTCATGCCAAATCAAATGACTTAAATCACTGACGGAAATTCAAACTTGGTATGATAACCATTCTTCACAAAGAAACACTCCAGTGATGTGCACAAGTTGGGCGCGCATAATAATTATGTCATGTCGATGTGGATTAATTTGGGGTTCCGAAGGCCTCGTCATTGGGGAGGTCTATTTTATAACTCATACGTTTCCGGCCCTATGATCCAGGATGGTTCACTGAGTCAGGAAAAAAAACACAACTGCGGGCTTTTGTGAAAATTTTAATGATTGATCGGCTTCCGTAAAATGTGAGGAAGTTCTTGACCAGCTGAGAGGGGATACAGGATTCTGTCTCGAAAGAGCAGAGCCTCTCTTCAGAAACTAACAGTCGTTCAATAGTCAAGAAATTTCCGGCTTTGCATAGGACCCCAGGATTCAGTACCAGACTCACTTACAGGCTTCTAAATTCCGTTCCAAAATATATTAATTCTCTACACAGAAGACTGTCCGATTAATGTTAAAAGACAGTAGATTATAACAGTGGTATTCAACCTGGGGTACGCGTACCCCCGGGGGTACGCGAAGACATCTTAGGGGGTACGTGAAATTTTTTTAAAAAATATTTTATGATAAACACTGAATAATCAGTAATGTAATTAATTTAATTTATTTTATATGTAGATTATATACTATGTATAACTTGAATTATACATCAACGACTTTGGGGGTACAAAGTTGAAGAGAAATTATATCTGGGGGTACGCGAACAAAAAAGGTTGAATATCACTGGACTATAGAACTCTTGAATATCCGTTTGCTGTGAGCGATGGAACCTATCATCGGCCTATTATACGACAATGCCACTGAACCTCCCCGTACCCCTTTCACTTCCGCAGCCCCAGACTCGTTCAACCAAACCTCTTATTACGAGCAACCAGGGAGGTCGAACACACACAGTCTTTTGTTTACAGCTTGTCCTTGTTCAGACAAATGCACGAACTGAGGCTCCACAACAATGTCCTCTGCTTTCGAGCAGTTACTTTTTCTTTATATTTGCGGTCGTCTTCATGGATTCTGACTTTTCCGAGTTTGCACTTTCTAAATAACGTTAAATGTAATATAGCTATATCTCGAAGAAAGTTTCTAACTTAACTACAGAAGGTTGTCTGTCAATGGTTGGTGTTCTTTTCGTCATTTCTCTAGCAGGACCAAAAAGTCTCTAAGCTGACTCACCACGTGGGAGCATACTCTCGTACGTTTCCGGCGTTTGAATTAAGGTTAATATGAGGGGACCGACAGACTGCGCCAGTATAATCCGGTTCGAAACGAAATACTGTATGTACACGAAGTTGTTTAAATTAGGAAGTCATTTTAATGTAAAACTACAGTACGTGAAACGTCCTCACAGTCTTAAAGGGTTCCATTCTCGTCCTGCGCCAACGCACTAGAAAAAAGCAAATGTGGCCGTCAAACATGGGGCAATGAAATGTTCCAAGACATTTTTTTAAACAAATATTAAACTTTTACTTCGTCAATAAACAATAAGAACTACGTGTACGCCAGATGAAAGTTTGTTCTTCTACTAATGAAAACTTACGAAACCGTACTGGTGTAATGTTAAAGTAAAAAGCTGTCCCACTATACGCCATTTAGGCGCTTGGGGGGAGAGAAGGTATAGCTCCTACTCATTCTTGACCACAGCACTAGATGGGGGTGAGTGGTCAGCATCACGCCCCGGCCGTGCTTTACCCCCGGGAAAAGTGTAATGTTAACTTCATAAATTTCAAATTTCATTGGAATATAAACATTTTAATTTCGGTTCAACTTTCAACTTGACAATAAATTAAAATCTTGAAACGTTGTTTGAAACATCAATTTGTGTTGCTGTCGATTTTATTTCGTCGGACAGCGCATAAAGATGTGCAGGTATACTGAAATTATTTCAAATGGGTTTCCTATTTGTATTTATCAGCCACATCAAATATGGGCATTCTTATTTATGATGATACAATTTTTTGTCTAGATCATCCATTACCAAAATAATTACGAGAAAATGTTCCTATAGGCCGGAAAATAAGTCTAGTAGTAAATACTGGGAAGTAGATGAAACTGACATAACAAGAAACGAAGGCCAGGAGCAAATAAATAATGTAAAATCATGTAAAACAAATCCTGAAGAACCGAACACAGAAAACAATGTTGCCACATATTGTACGTAAGAAACCTGACCTCTTGCTTTGAAAGAAAAACAAATTAAGCGCGTATGAACACGAAATGCCAAGAGAAGTATTCGGTTTATGATGAGCTTGGCATGTAGCTAGAATGGGTGGTACTTCGAATGAATGCAGAACCTTGACGGCTTAAGCTGTGTTGAACCTCCGTGTTCTGATATCACAGTGTTGGTTAAGAATAGCGAAACCACACGCGAAGGGCAGATGGACCAGCACTTCGTTCTGTAGTCGGCGCAGTAGTTTTTGGCCGGTGGAATTTTCAAGGGGAAGGCTAGGAGCGAGTCTCTTTTGCGATAGTATAATGCTGACTGCAACGATGAGCTTATCGGACTGAACGCACAAACAAAAGAAATACACTGACCGTGCCACCTCAGGTACACGGAGTAGGCCCGTCCGCCAGGTTCTCCACCGGCCAAAAAACTATTGCGCCGACTATACTCGGGGCGGTCTGAAGATGTGACAGGCGGCGGTGCCACTAATACAATACACAACACTTCTAAGAAACCATCGGGTTAAACTGTGGTCTTGGAACCGGTCGTCATATCCGAAATTCGAAAACGTCAATTATCACATAGGGCACGCAACTGATATTATGTCTTCGACCAGACAGTCTCACACAAAACAATGGCAGCACAATTAGGGTCACCACTGACAACGTGGGAGATGCGTTACAAACACTATTTTGCTGAGTAATAAAATGCTAGTAATCCTAACCAAGATCGACCAATTCTTAATCTAGTGTGGTTCCTTGGTTTATTAAACAATTCTTTTACAAATTACACTGATTGAGCCAGATTACAATGAATGATGAACAAGGATGAAAGTAGAATGAAGCTTTCTTAGACTATATCAAATACTGTACAACTATTATTTCAAAATAGTGAGAAAAGCTAAAAAAAAAGTCAGAATAATCATTATAAAGGCTGAGGTACGAACTTGGGATGTACATGATAAGAAACAGAAGTAACTACCAACATAAATTATTAGGCATAAATGAATAAAATAATCGAGTATGGTTCACTCCGCATTTCTTAATATCCTGTAAACATCAACCACGAGTTTAGTATATAACCTGTCCGAATTGGGATGAATATTAACAATATTATGTCTTCTGGTATACCAATGAAGGAGAGCGTACTGGATGTATAGTTAATGACTGTAATCTTGAGACTTGCGGGGTGAGGAAGTGGGGTGAAGGAGGAGAGACAGCGTCTGCCTTTAACGCTTCGGATTTCCTGCATTCCTTGCAAGTCTCAAGATTACAGTCGTGGACTGTATAAGTCACGTTGTAAAACTTCGCGGCCCGCCGTCACTTCGAAACAAATCTGGTCGACTCTCCGAGTAAAAAAGGGCAATCGATATAAAAAAGCACCCCACGTCACGGATGACTTCTTGGTATTCCTGCTTCTTTTTTCGGGAGAGGGAGATCCCGGGTTAAAAATTCTGCCCACAGACCGGCTATTTTGTAGGTTTCCTACATGCATATCTTAAATTATGCCACGACATTTTCCTTTATATACAGGCTACTTTCCAGCTCATTAATCATGTTTCCATTCGACGCTGTAGTCTGAGCTACTCACAGCGTCGTTAAATAAAATACGAATAATAACATATATAGACTAGAAAAGAAGGAAGCATGAACAAAGCTTCTGTAATACTCGAAGATCCTACACCGCTAACATAGATGCATTTGAAGATTTCTGTCTTCTGGGTTGTTGTGCTGTGTAGTCTGGTCGATGTTAAAGTCTGGTAGAAGAATAATCATGTCTACCACACGAGACGGAGCAACAACCATGAAGACTCACAGCCAATGGAACCCTAATCTCACGAAAAAGGGCAGAAACCTTGCAGCGTTGTGTTTTCTGTGAGGTACTAAATTAATATTTGGTGCTTCAAGGGGTTACACAAAACTGTATCTGGCGATGTCGTATGCCAATACATACTGGCATCGAAAGGTTAAATGCATACCTTCACATGTCAACAGCACCACAAAGGCAGTTTATTTTTATTCCATAATTTCGCAAGCTCACCTGTAAAACACCAAGTCAAAATTCGAGGACCATCTTGCTGATAAGTCACGAAACCACTTCCGCTGCGTCGACTGTTTATATGTTGCCATAGTAACGAGGAGACAATTACACAGTCACTTATCCCGGAAAGATTACCACTAACTGTCACTGACCCAAATGAGAAGTGATCCAATCCTGGATAATCCGCTATCCAGACATTCTGATCACATCGTCGTCCCGATATTGACTACACGAACTGTGCATGCTATGTACATTGGTCAGCATAAGAACATGTTAGTTACTCCCGCGTAGATGGCAGCACTTTCCGCAATCGATCTCGCATTCTGACAGTGTAAAAACACCCGAAGTTTGATATTAATCTATCTCACAAAGTAAGGGCGAGAAATAGTAATTGTTAGTTAGGTCTGAGTGCGTTATGCAGCATATAGTTGCAGTTATTTCTTCCTAAACTTAAGAGGTGAAGCCAAAAATGTCCTTATAATGCCTACATTAACAACAGAATAAAGGCACTGTTTATGATTTGCATGCGATTGTCGTGTATAAAGGTATTATTTATTATCCGAGCATAACCCAACCTACCCCGTTCGCTAGTGATGTTAGTATGTTCGTATTTAAAAAGTAGTGAATGTCTGGACGGAAATTCGTATAGATGTCATCCAGTAAATCAATATTCATTATTTCTTCTCTCTAACGTGTGCAATACCATCCTTCCGGATGCTCTGATTTGCAAGGTGTGACGATGACTTCACTGCCCATAATCATCTGTGTACCACTGACCTATGATAACCTAATCTAGCCACCATGCCCCCTTCACAAGAGATATCCGCATGTATATATTTAATAACTGGAGAATGATGGGACAATACTTCCTAATTTGTTACACTTTGTAATGACACTGTGATGGGGTGTATACATGTATAACTAGATAATGACTGGTTGGAAATTCATGATATATGGTGTGTACATTATGCCATAATTCTCAATTCCAAACTCATACTAAGGTTTTACACTCTATAATACCATCGATATGGGAGCTCATATTTGCAAGGTGACATAATGACAGATTATAACTGTGATTCTCTGCAGATGTGCATTACTAACCAAAGCAACCTGAATCTAGCCTGACAGTCTACCCTAACATAACCCTTTTTGCTGTTATAACTATTAATTTAATAACTGAATGAAAAGTTTTCATGAATTTCATATGGGCATTATGGTATAGGTGATTACTCCATGCTCAAACTTCATACACTCAGTAATATCAATATAATGGATGCTCGAATTGTGAGGTGGAATGATATCATTAACTATAATCCCTTGCTCATGCACATTACTACTGGTATGCATATTGTTAATACTGAGTGAACATTTTTGTATCCAAGCAAACATTAATTTGACAAGGAATTCAGTCATTTGTATTGGAGTTATCAAATTTAAGAACAAAAATGTCACTGAGCTGTGAAAGTTTCACTTTCCAAACCAAGAATTCACTTTTAACCTTGTGGTTGCTAAGGATTCTTTCAGGCTTTTATAATTTCAGTAATCACAATTAAATATTGTCCATAAACTATCATCTAATTTATCATATTCATTATACTCATCACAAAACTCCACACTGGTAAGAATTTTCCTTTGTGCTACCATGGCTCCAGACAGTTCAGTAACAAATTGTTAACATAACTGTATTTATTTCATAACTATGGTCAAAAGAATAATCACTAATTAGTTTACTGTATAGCCATAAATAGTACTTGTTGGATATCCTAAAATAAAACAAACATGATTTTATGTGCATAGTAACCAATGTGGCATTAGATAATGTGCATGCACTTGTCAAAGATTAATGAACGGTAATTCTTTATCCAACTCAGATTTGTGCAGTGCAGTTTTATTTACATGTATAGGAGTTTTTTCTAACTAAATAAATTTCACATATATGTAGATAAAAGCAGAATAGAGCATAACTGGACCTGCATGAATACCATGGTATGTTATGAAATTGTACTATATGAACAGCCTCAGATTTATCATGGAAGTTGTATTTCGATAGTACAGAAATTCTTTGCTGATTATTGATTCAGATATTGGAGATGGTATTTGGAATAAATTGTAAGAATTCAAACTTTATTCATTTTTACATAATAACACAATTACTGAAGTGCAGGAGGACCTCTCCAGCCCCATTTACAATTAACTGGCATTACTCATTCCTGTTCAAGAACACTGGGTATCATCCACACAAAATCAAAGATGGTCTCTTTTATTATGTCGTAACAGTAATATGCATACATATGTTAACACATTCACTTGTTATGATGCTAGCTGCTATTCAATTGAATGTTCTCTTCCTGTGCCAAGAACAGCTCACAACATTGTCGCTTAGTTGCTGAAGTACAGATGGTCCTCAAATTTATGCCAGGTTACATTCCTGGAAAAGATTTCATAAGTTAAAATGAATAAGGAGGACCAAAGATCTCAATGAAACAATGTTACAATACAGGGTTATATTAGTGATCATGGGCTGTGTATTCAACTTTTTATAGACACAAATACAAATAAGGTATAAACGAGCTACAACCACATATAACAATTTAAAAAATGGTGTTTGAAAGTCTTACCTTAATAATTCATAATGCGAGGTTTACTGTGACCAAATAATTGAAGTTAAAGTAAGGGAATTATTGTAAGAAACTAGAAATTGAAGGAACACCTTTATCAGGCAGATAGAAATAGAAATAAACAGTGACCAGAGTGGGATTCAATCTTGTGACCATCTGTGCACAAGCCCATTACCACTTACTGATGAGCCACATTGCATTTCATTACTAGGTTATTAACAAACATTAAGAACTGTGGGACTAGAAATCTCTGTGTGTGGGCTTTGTGAGTTCTACCTCAAATACGTGGCCAAAATTATCAGAGACGGCAGGGGAAAATATACCTTCTCTGACATTTTTAATACCAAAATTATTCCAAGCAGGTAGCTAGTGCTTTAAGTGAGATATCTACTTCACAGTATGGAAATGTTAAGGATTTCAGGGCTTCACTTAGTTTTGGATCAGAAGAGATGCACAACTGGAAACTGACAGGAAATAATGGTCCTGTCACTCTTTTCAAATGATGCAGGACTTGTGAGGTAGGTACTGATGCAGGACATGCTGTTAGAAAGCAGTCTGGGTGGTAGTGACAGTGCTGCCACCTAAACATGGACCTGCACTGAAGCTAGGATTCCTCAATTCTAAGAAGTTTCGATAGGAACGCCTCATCAGTGCGTGAACCTGCAAAGAGTAAGTTTAATTTGAGTTTGATATCACATATTGCAATAAGAGTACACACTTTATAAATGTGTTCTTGTGAATTTACATCCCTCATTGATCATAACAGTTATTTATTGACAGTATATCTAATTAAGAGTAGATATACTAAACTACATTCAATTTCTGACAAAGCTAGTCAAATGATTGATTTCTTGTATATTGTTATATTCATAATGAAGAACTAGAATATGTCCCATAATATTACATGATTTATTATTTATCTGTGACTGTTCTGTGAATGATAATAACATCAATTTTTTCCTTAGTAATTTTCAAAACAAAACAATACCTCTCCATTGATGTAACAGAAAATTAGTGCCACTACAGCTCCCTGTAATCCATCAAGCAAAATGTCAAGATAGACGTACAGCTCTTGCCACTGACAGGTACCCGACTGTGGCCGATACATTGTGATGCCAAAGTGTAGACCAAAGAGAGGCACCAACACCAGTGTGGCTTTCACTGCTTTTCTGTGAAACATTAATACAAGTGAATTAGATGAAAAATCCATTTTGTTGGATGCAGTAAGAAAACTAGTAAACAAACTTCTAGGGCTCATGAAAAAGTATGTTTGAACATTGATAAATTGTGACAAACTTACAGTACAAGATCAAAAAGCGCAGTTAATGCCACAAAATACTGGATAGTGGAACATTGTAGTATATAACAAGCAACGATTGATTAGAGCAAGCAAAGAGGTAATTCTGTTTTGTACTGACAGCTGAACAGTGAAAACTAACAAACGCAGACCACAAAATGTAGAATAAGTAGAGCTACCTGTACTGACTAGGTTCATGATGATGTGGTGCTCTTAATTTGATGACAAGCACTCGAATTATATTCACCAGGAATATCATGTTCACCTGTAACAGCAGTTTACAGTTCTCTTAGTGAAGTTGACCTTATCTTTGAAAATACTGTATAGTATGTCATCAAACGTAAAGAAGCTCAAGAGATAACATGTCACCTCAATATGTGAAATGAACATGTAGAAGAAGAAAAAAAATGTGAATTGCTATTATGTTTGTAGATATGAACAAATGTACATACTCTAAAACTGGAATTCATACTTACTAGAAGACTAAGCAAACTGGGAACGTTCAAAACCCATTCGCTAGGATCTGTTGGCATCGCCCAGCAATCTCTGTCTGAATCAATTATTCTCAGCAGAGCATAGATGAGCACTGGCAGAAGGGGAAAGCCTGAAGTAGACAGGACATTTACACATTTTACAGTGAAAAGAAAAATGGCTAATGTTTTGCCCTTCAAGCAGCAAAAAATAGAATTAAAATCTGGATGTGTAACAACTGTACTTAACGTAACATCCATTCAATGTGTAACACCTGTGTGACCGTGTGTCACAAATTACTCAAAGTCCAGCTGACTGTGCACTGCACTACCATATCACAAAACTGTTAAGCCCAGACTTTAAGTCCACCCTGCATTTCTATAGTTGAAGGTTTAAAACCCGTATTCTCAAATGATGAAGGTTAAAATTATGGACAATTAGGTATCTGTATTACTTTATCAGGGCACTGGAACGTTTCAAGTAAACTGAAGAATGTCTTAGAAAATTCTTGATGGTTGGTCACCTTAAACTAGGAGCTCTCCCACAAGTCAGCCACCTTGGCCACATGACAATTCTTAAATGTCACCATCAGCTGTCATAAAAAATACTATAATTCAGAGGTAACTAGATTTAAGTTAATTTAATTTAAGTTTCACTCCAGTATTGGGATATTGTTTTCATCATGCATTAAAAGAAATCAGTACCTAGTTATTTTTATATCTATTGATTAAAGCTCCTTATGTACTTCAGAATATTCAAATCAAAATATTATTTAAAACTAAATGCAGCTACAATTGTGGGGTCAGAGGCATCTACGAGGCTCGTCCACAAAGTAAGTTTCCCTGGGGCCGTTTACAGAAACAAAACACAATTTCATGGAAATATTTATTGCAACAGATACAGCAAGTGTCCAGCTATTTTTCAACATATTCACCACCGGAATTGAGACATTTGTCATACCGTGGGACCAACTTTTGAATACCTGGGTCGTAGAAGTCTGCCGCCTGGGATTGGA